ACGCTTGCCGCACCGCCTCCGCGGGTCCACCTGTGGGCCCCCTGGCGCCCCCCCTGCTGCTGCTGCTGCCCCACACGGGGACCACATACACGGGGAGCACTCCCCTGATCCCCAACCTACCCCCCTCCTCCTCCTGCGCACCCGGGGCCCCCTGCAGGAGACCGCCATCTCCTCCTCGCTGTCGCACCCAAACATCGTGCAGGTGGGTGGGTGGGTGCAGGTGCAGGTGCCCCGGGGGCCGCGGTGCGGGGTGCGGGGGTGCGGGTCGCTATGGGGGATGGGGCACGGAGGAGGGGTGGGGTGGTCGCTGCCTACCTCTGCGCTCCGCGCCTCTCGGTCTCAGCCCCTCTCACACACGTCTTACCTCCGCCTCCCTCCCACCCCGCCTCCCTCCTCCCGCCCCCAGACCTACACCTACGCTGTGCTGCCGGTCAAGGGCGAGACGGGCGCACTGGACACGCCGCTGGGGCCGGGGTGGGTGTGACCGGGGGGTTCGGGGGGGGGGCCTAAGGGGCGGGCGTGGATGGAAACAGAGTAGGAGTGCAAGTTGGTGATAGTGGCAGTCAGTGACCGGGGCCGGGGGGTGGGTTATGGCTGGGCTGGGCTGGGCTAGTCATGTTGGGGATTAGATAAACTGAGCCGCGGAAACACTGACCATGTTGATCATGTTGGGGAGGTGCGGAGAGCTGCAGCGGTGCACACGCCGCCGCCGCTGTGCAGCAGGGGGCAGTAAACCAGCAGTAGTTGCGGGGGTTGCAAACGAGCAAGCTCAGCTGGCCGCTCCCTGCCCTGAATGGCCCACACGATCAAGGCCCACACGAAACCAGCAGCTTCAGCCCCCACACCGCAGCCCTCCTCGGCCTGCTCCTCCCGCCCGCGCCCTTCCTCCCCCCCCCCCCACCCCTTTGCGGCATTTCCCTCCCTCCTCCGTTGCTTCACTTTCCATTTATTTCCCCCCCTTCCCCCCTTCCTCCCCCCTTTTTCCCCGCAGTGCGAGTGTGACGCTGGACAGCACCAGCGCCTTCACCGCCCACCCCCCCGCTTACCCGGGAGGGGCGGAGCAGGCGGGCAACGTGCACAGCTGGGAGGTGGGTGGGGGCGCTGGGGGGCACTGAGGCATGTGGGGCGAGGAGGAGGGCGACAGGGCTTGAAAGAAGGGGTAAACAGGAAGCACTATACCGGTATCGTAACCGTGGGACGCAGCGTGGGCCGTATGACACATCCTTCCCCGCTTTCCCTCCCCCACTCCCACCCTCTCCCGTCCTCTTCCCCCCTCCCCCTGTCCTGTGGCACGCCTGCCACCTCCTTCCCTTATGCCTTTGCCCGCACTCCTGCACACTTTCCTATGGTCCGGTCTGCTGGTTTGAAACCCCCTTCCTCCCTCCCCCCCAGGTGCGGCTGGTGCTGGAGTACTGCGACCGGGGCTCCCTGCGCGACGTGCTCAGCAGCACCCTGGCAGCGGCAGCGGCGGCAGCAGGGGGAGGGGCAGGGGCAGGGGGGCCAGCTGCCCCGGGCCCCGCCGCTGCCGCGCTGCTGCCGGCTGTTGGGCAGGCGGAGGCGGAGGAGGAGGAGGAGGCGGAAGGGGGGCAAGAGGGCGAGGAGGAGCAGGAGCGGCAGCGGCGGCAGCCAGGCCCGTCGGCTTCGGCAGGCAGTGCAGTTGGAGGAGGAGGGGGCCCCGGAGCAGCAGCAGCAGGAGGAGGAGGAGGAGGGGGGCAGCAGGCGGGTGGCGGCAGCTGTCCGCTGGGTTACGCGGATGTGCTGGGGGTGACACTGGACGTGGCGAGGGCCATGCTGCACATGCACAGCGAGAACATCGTGCATGGAGGTGCGTGGGGTGGGGTGGGGAGGGAGGTGGAGGTGGAGGTGGAGGTGGAGGTGGAGGTGGAGGTGGAGGTGGAGGTGGAGGTGGAGGCGGGGAACAGGGGAGGTGGAGACAACACCAGTGGTGCGGGGGGGTGTAGGATGCATGGGGGTAATATGGATGAAGATTCCGCATTAAGCTGGATTTTAGGATTGCGCATAGTCAAATTCGTTGGGTTAGTAGCAGCACACAAAGTACAAACCGTGATAAAGCTCCATAAGCTGGCGGCCGTGCTGAGATCATATCATTGGACGAATTACTGACGAGCTATAAACTGCCGTCTGAGCTCCACTGCATTGCTGAGCGCCAGTGCGCTGTAAGCTGTGGCTGGTATGCGGCTGTGTGCACCTAAACATCCCACCCGCCCGCCCGCGCAAGTGACCCCTGGGTCGAACTTTAGGCCCAGCCCACCCACGACCGAACCCGACTAACCTGCGTAGCAAGGGAAAATTGTGCAACGAAGACGTACCAAATTTCGTTAATAGTGAGCGAAAAGCGTCCAGAGACACAAGAAGGCGGCGCGACGAGCGAACAGAAGACAGGCATGCATCCCTGTGCTGGTGCTGCGAGCTGCGCTGTATATCGACGCAGGCTGTATGACGATGAAGATGGCTGGCTTATCAGGATGAAAGAGACGGGACTATGCCGAGAGTTAGTATTTATGCGAAAGGCGGCGGTGCGAAGTACGGCATGGGACGAGCATGCTTAATTTAGCGCAAGCGCAGTATGGCTATGATGATCTAGATATGCAGGGGGTGCAAAACATGCGGCGTCAGTGAAATGACAGCTAAAAACAATGACAGGGCGGGGCCTCGCAAGGCTCCCAAACAACCCTGTCACCCAAGCGAGCCATTGCATGCAGGCTCACCGGGGCTGCAGGTGTGGGAGACCTAGGTGCATGGTGGCGTGCAGACTTACCAGTTGACCATGAACGTAGGCTAGTGTATGGCAGGGTGAGGGGGTTAGCAACAAGGCATTGCCTAATGCGATCCTATAGGTAGCGACATGCGTGTTATGACAGTTAGCGTGCATGCAGTACGTATCCGCGGTAATACCCGAAAGGCTGTGTTACCGCCTTGTAGAGGTTGCCGACGTTCCTGCTGAAGGCGCTGGAGCCGGCTGTGGAATACTTGCGCTGAGCTTATCCGTTGGCTGTCGTTGATGTAGATGATGCCGAAAGTATCGACTGGCTGTTTTAGTAGCCACGTTTCGAAGAAGCTTATCGGGCGATGTTGGGAGACCTTGATAGCCGGCCAGCCTCGTTGTTGACGGTACGCTGAAGTGAATGTGCTTGTTCGTCGATCTTGGTGGCGATGCCGCGCGCGATCCGTAGTCCGTCGTTGTAAGCTCCAAACCCTCCCCTCCCGCCCTCTTAAACCCCCATACTTATCCTGATGCGTGTGCAGCTGTGAATCTTGTAAGTGTAGAAGCATTTATAGAATTACGTGGCAGATAAAACTTGTTGAAGAATAAATCAAAAAAATTTGGGATAGGCTGTTGGAATAAGGCGCGATTGGTAATTGTCTCATAGTCTCCGCTCTCCGCAAGGGGGATACTGCTGCTGAAGAGTAGAGCTGGGCGACTTCCCAGACCGCGGTTCCCCGGTAACCGGACCGAAGCGGGAAGTCTTTGGGTGGGGAGGTGTGGGGTGGGTGCAGTCGTGCGCGTGCGGAGCTGCCCGCAGCGGCCTGTCGGGTGCTGTCCCTGCTGCTGTCGCTGCCGCCCCTCGGACGCCCAGCCTGCCCTACTTCCTCGCAGCCTCCTCACCCACCTGCCCTGACTGGCAGCTTGATTTCCCCTATTCACGCTTCTTGATCCTTCCCTCCCTGCCCCTCCCTGCCCCTCCTTCCCTCCCTCTCCCTTCCCCCCCGCCAGACCTCAAGGCCCGCAACATCCTGCTCAAGAGCGGGGGCTGCGGGGACGGCCGCCCCTACGTGGCCAAGGTGGGCAGAGGGGACACAAGGGGGGGGAGACAAGGGGGCGGGACAAGGAAGGGGGGAGGCAGGCAGAAGGAAGACCATTGAGTGCGGGAGACAGAGCAGTCACTTGCGAACGGTCGCATGTCAGCACCTCAAAAAGCACAACTGAGTTCCTCCCTTGGTTGACCTGCCGCCTTGCCGCCTTGCCTTGCTTGTTTACCCTGCTGTGGTGCGTGCGTGTGCGTGTGTGCAGGTTGCGGACTTCGGGTTGAGTATGCGCATGGACCCGCACGAGACGCACGTGTCCAATGTCTACCAGGGTGAGCAGGGGCGGAGGGGTGGAGGGGGTGGGAGGGGGGCCGGAGGGGGTGGGGAGGGGCCGTAGCTGGGAGGGCTGAGGGAGGGGAGCGGTGCGGGCGAGCCGGAGGGGCTGCGGAGCGGGCCGAGGGGTGTGGGGCCTCCCCACGAGACCTGCCTTGGGTGTGCATCAGGTTGCTGCCTCTGCCCCCTACCCCAACCTTACCCCGCCCTCCTCTCCCCCGCCCGCCTGCCCGCCTGCCTGCAGGCACCATCACGCATATGGCGCCCGAGGTAGGGCCTGAGGGGGGGAGCATGGGAGCAGGGGGTGGGCATGGCAAGCTTCCCCCGACCACCCGGCCTTACCTTGTGCTGCCATCATGCGTCCATGTCTCCGCTGTCCCCCCCCCTGCCAGGTGTTGCTGCACGGCAAGGTGTCCAAGATGAGCGATGTGTACGCATTCGCCATCCTCATGTGGTAGGGGCGGGGGAGGGGGGGTTGACACCTGGGGGCGGGTGAAGGGGTCCAGCGGGTGAAGGGGTCCAGCGGGTGAAGGGTGGTATGCGCCACTGAGACTGAACCGCTCCCCCCCCCACCCGACCCCCCCTGCCTGCTCCCCCCCTTCACTCCCCCCAGGGAGACCTACACCGGCGGCCAGGCGTTCAAGGGCACCCCCCGCGCGCTGCTGGGCCACGAGATCACCAAGATGAACCGCCGCCCGCAGTTTCCGTACGACACACCCTTTGAGTACCAACTGCTCGCCTGCCGCTGCTGGGAGAGCGACCCCACCATCCGACCCACCTTTGAGCAGATCATAGCCGACCTCAGCCGCATGCGAGCCAAGCTGGCGGCCGGGGGGTGGCAGCGGGGGAGGAGCGGGCGGAGCGGCGGCAGGGGCGGCGGGGCCAGGAGGGTCGGGGGTGGCGGGTGGTGGGGGTGGGGGTGGGGGTGCGGCGGCAGGGGCGTTGGCGGTGCCGTTGGGGGGGTTCATGGGCGGGGCTCACCCCGCCTCTGGGGTTCCCTCGGTGCAGGTGTACATGACGCCGGGGGAGGGGGAGACGGTGACGATGACGGCGAGTGTGACGGATGGGAGCTGCATGGGGCATGGGGCGGGGGCGACGGTGGTGATGGAGGATATGGGGGCGGGTACGGAGGGGCGGCGGGGCGGGGGGGGCTGCTGCACCCGTACTGGCGGGGAGGCGGAGGAGGAGGGGGAGGAGGTGTGGGGGCAGCAGCAGGGAGAGGAGGAGCGGGGGTTGCGGGGCGCCAGCGGGCTGCAGCAGTCGAGGACGCTGGAGAGCCAGACGGGTGAGGGAGGGGGAGGGGCGGCGTGAGGGAGCGGGAAGGGGGGGGGTTCGGGTGCTGTCGTTGTGAGCCCCTTACTGCATCCGCCATCACTCACTCACGCTCTCCTTCCTGGGTTTCAGCAACAACCGCAATTCCCAACCAGCCTTTCTTCTCTGCGCCTTCTCCTCTCTTACCCTCCTCCCGGTTTACCTAATCCCCTGCTCCCTTCCTCCCCGCCCCCCTCCCCCCCTCCACTAGACGACATGCTGCCAGCGGGCGTGCAGCAGCTGTTCTACCTGCAAGCGGTGGACGGCAGCAGCATGGGGGGCTCGGTGAGGCTGGGGGGGGGGGGAGGGGGTAAAGAGGAAACAACTAACTGACTGAGGGATAAGGCGTCAACATGGGTTGCAACATGAGGGGGAGGGGGCAGCAGGGGGGCCGAGAGCGCAGCAGCATGGGCGGCTGGGTGAGCTACGTCGCCCTAGCCACCCTGGTTCTCTGCATGCCTTCCCGCCATCCACCGACTCCTCACCCTCACTTCTTTCCCTCCCCTCCCCCTTCCCGTCCCGCACCCCAGGACTCCTACGGCGGCCCCCCACCGCCCGGCCTCCCACCGCTGCTGCTGCCGGGCCGCTCAGCCGCCCCCGCCATGCCGCCCATCCTGGAGGCGCCACCCGGACAGCAGCAGCCGCAGCAGCAGGCGGGGCAGCAGGCGGGAGGGGCGCAGTGAGGTGTCGGAGGAGGGAGGGGGGTCCCACAGCAGTGGGGAGGAGGGAAGAGAGCGGTGTGCAGGATGTGATACGATACCCGCTGTTGGGGCGTGCGAAGGTACAGCACAGGGAGGTGGAGAAGCATATGACCGTGCGAAGAGAGAGAAGAAGGGAATGTTTGGCATTTCCCTGCTCCAATGTTGACTTTGGAACAGGGACAAAGGGAAGCTATGAACAGAAAATATGGCGATCCGAGTTGAGTTGAGTTGGGATTGCGAGGGGGACAAAGTAAGCATGGTTACTGCTTTCAACACTAGTACATGGCTTTTCCGGTTGAAATCGTGTTGTGTGAATGGAAAGGGCGGGAGTATGGCATGGAGGAAGGTCCGCGCGGTTATTAGACTTGCACTGCGCTTTTGTAGTGCGGTGGGCGCAAATCTTGAAATGTGGAAATGCTTCAAATTGTGTGTGCGAGATGAAAGGGGCTTGCTTGGGATTAAGGACAGTTGGGAATGTCGGGTGCCGGTCCTGCCTTTTGCCGTTTGCGTGTAATCGGCAAAAGGACCGTATGCCCTTTACCTTACGTATAAGAGTAAAAGGCATAAGGCTATTGTGTTCGTGAATACCGATGTGGCGCCTGGGGGCCTCGGGGCTTGACGGAGGGGTAGCAGGTGGTTGGAGACTGCTGCTGGCAAGGTACACGCGTGCATGCATGCACTGCTGGGGGTTCCGGGTGGTGGTGGGGTGGGGTGGGGTGGTGGGGGAGGGGAGGGGGGTGCTCCAGCGCTCTCACCGGGCAGCCAGCACGATACAGTTGTGGAAGGAGGGGGAAAGCTTGGGAAGGCGGATGTGTAGTTGCCGGCACAACATTTATTTATTGGGTACAATTATGGGTTACGTGATGTGTGCGGCGGGGGTATGATGCATGGGGCGTGTGAAGAAGGGGGGACACCTCTGGCGCTCCGAGGCTTTCACCTGCTGGTGATAACCATAATGTTTGCAATGTGAGTGCATGCGTCCGTCTCCGTGGATCTCCGATGTTTAACACTGACCATTGCGACGACCCGGCGGCTTTGCAAGGCAGGCGACTTGCTCTGACCGTTTGGTAAACTATGGGTAACGCTCCTGCACCTGCTGCTGCTGAATTCCGGGCGTTTAAAGAAGCCGGAGGGATAGAAAAGGCGTGGATGGTGAGGGGGTCTGCTGCCATTGCAGTGGTGGAGTGAGGGACGGTGGCGGTGATGAGGCGAGGCGAGGAGGAGAGGTTAGGGTGATGGTGGTGGTGATGGTGGTGGTGGTGATGGTGGTGGGGTAGGTGTCTTCCTGAGTACAGAACAACCTAGCGACGTCTTGCAGAGCTCGGAGTCATACAGCCTGGAAGACTAGGGTATTGGGCTAGTGGGAGGGCATTGTTACAATGCATAGCGTCAGGTGTGAAGTGCAGGCCTCAACACACCTGAACACACTGTGTGATGTAAATCGGTTTGCGTTGCACGCGTAGCGCTGCTTTTGCGTGCGCTGCGGTTGCAGTGGTTTCCACCGGCGAGGTGCTGCTGCTTTCCGCTGGGAGCCGGGTTTCCTGCTTGCCGGGCTTGCTAACTCTTTCAGGCGAAGAGGTGTGGCCCCGCGTACGGATGTGGGGAGGGCGTGCAGCCAGTGGCGGGGGGTGTATTGTTGAGTAGGACAAGAGCAAGCAATTGGGAGAGGTTCGCATGTGAACCGCGAGTACAGGCAAAACAGAGGTGACAAAACCTGAACCGTAATTCAAAAACGGCTTAAATAGCTGTTGCTGGATATAAGAAGGATGGCGGGTGACGAGTGACGACGCATGTCGGTGATGCTGATGGTGTCGGAAAACTAAAATACTACTGAGAGCTAAAGCCCGCTGACCAACTCGACGCCGGGAGCCCCCGCTCTGGTCACGCAGACGAGACACCACAATGCTGTGCATGCGTGCGTGCAAACGCGCATTGCGTACCTGCGAGCAAAGACGCCGTAGTCAGCATCAGGACCAGCATTCCGATTCATGGCGGCGGTACGTGGAAACAGTGGATCAGTGCACCGTCAGCTGCCGGGAATACTGTTCGGTGCGACAGCAGAGCTCCTCGGACCCTCGTGTCTGGGACATTTGGGTCATGAGGAGGGAAGAACGCGCGTGTGAGCAAGGGGCGCCCGATTCCTGCGTGGTGGAACGTGCTTTGGAGGCTGCAAGGGGCGGGGAAGGGAGTGGAGAGCATCACTGCTGGGGCGACCTGCGGGCGACGGGTTTGCGTTGGCAAACGAGACGCAGGACCCGAACGAGGTGGGGTTTGGGTACTTGGGTTGGCAGCGGAGTGCAGGCTAGGGCCAGGACGCCAGGTGCTGGGGCGGATGGCGGTGGGCGGTGGGCGGATGCATGCCTGGGGAGGGATGGTGGACAGTGGCGAAGAGCGGTTGGCAGGAGGCAGGGGAAGCGAGCGTGCGTCTGAGGACCTCGTTGGGCGGCTGGAGCTCCTGCTGCTGCTGCTCTCGAGTTGGGTGGCTGCAATGATTCTACTTATTGGTAGGTTGTTCAGGGCGCCGCATGGCGGGTGGCGCCCCTCACATGTCTGGTGGGTACCGGCATCCGGCGTCGGTTGCAATCCGGTTGTCGGAATACTTTGGTAGAGGCTGTCGTGTCCTATAGTCATGCTAGCTGGTAAGCCTATCTGGTAATGGCAGCACCTAAATTCAGGTGTTGCCGGTTTTCAGCAACAACAACCTTTTTCCGGTTTCGGCCGTAGCTCACCGTTTCGTCGAACCGTTTGCGTTGATGTTGATGGTGGGGGTGATAGCAATGATGCATGGTGATCTTGGTTACGCCGCGGGTCGTAGGAATGTGGGTTTGTTTTACGAGTGGGCATGATGGGGTACTGCGCGCTGGCGGGTGATGTTCTCATTGTTCCGGACAGCAACATGTGCAACGCGTGTACAACAAGTGTGTATCTAGGTCGACACAACAAGCAGTTTATGACGTTATCTACTCTCTGATGGTACCGATACCCGAGTACGACTGGTACTGCTTATTATGTTGTGTTTTGGTTGAGGCGGCCCTGGTCCCCTGTGACCCCCGTGGCGACTGTGTTGATGCATGATGCATGCATGTGTGCATCTGCATGAGATGACAAGGTGCGAGTCTCGGTCCCTGCGGCCGATGTGTTGTGGCGGGAAGCACGGGGCATTGGTACAGGTGTGTGCGCTTGGGCCGCTCGGGCGCCTTTGCTTTTGTACTTGCTTGTTGCTTCGGTCCGCCACGCGCATTGCAACATGACGCAAGCAAGCAGCCAAGCGACCCAGCAGCCCACACACTGCTCACTGCCCGCAAAGCCGCTGCCGCCCCCCGTCATCCAGCGACCTAAAGCCCCACCCGAGCGACCCACGGATCATCACTTAAAAGCCACCCCCACTTGACCACCCCCTCACCGCGTGTCCCCCATCAACCCCTCCCCCCCCATCACATGAAACACTTCCCTGCTACTACACTGCTATTAGGGTGCCCTGCTACTAGGGTGCTCTGCTTCTACACCAGCAGTCCATCGCAGTTCGTGAAGACGCAGTCCACGTCATCCAGCTCCATCAACCGCTCCATCAGGGCCTCGCAGCGGCTGAACGCCTCGTCGTCCACCTGGTGGTGAGGGGCGCGGGGGAGGCAGGGCGCGGGGAGGGGAGAGCTAAATGAGAAGTGCAGGGGAGGGGGGGAGAGGGGGTGACGGAGGGGAGGGCTAGGAACGTAAGCAGCGGGCGACTACGGTATTCTGCAACCAGGCTTGCAATGTCCCGTCCCTGATTGCGGATATTGACGAGGGGCGGGAGGAGAAGAGGATGTTGGGCATTGTACTGGGCGGGAACACACACACACACACTACTCGCGGCCAGTTTTCTTAACACACTACTCGCGGCCAGTTTTCTTAACACACACCCAGTGTGTGCCCACTGGCTCCGGTAGACAGGGCAGGGCAGCCCGACAAACCTGGTAGGTAGCGGTATAGCCCCGTTGCTAGCGGACACAGGCATCGGAAAAAGAAACCTCACCCCGTTCCCCCCCCACCTCCACTGCCGCAGATGCCCGATACACCAGGTCGCTTTCCTCCGGGTTCACGGACAGCCCGGCGGCCGCCAGCTGGCTCTTGGCGGCGGCAAACGACTCCACGGGCACAAACACCTGGGGCAGCGGGGGGGAGGGGGGGAGGGGGGGGCAGCAGCGGGAGGGGCAGGGTGGGGCGCAGCGGGGGAAGACCAGGAGCGTTGGGGTCAAGGAGGGGAGCAGGAAAGGGGGAGCAGGAAAGGGGGTTGCCCGGGAAGGGTAGGAAGGAGCGTGGGAGTGCGCTAGTGCATGCAAATCGCAAATGCAGAGTGCCCAGCCCTCAGCAGCGGCAGCAGCCCCAGCCCTGCCTGCCCCGCCTTACCTTGAACCCCCCTGCCGCCGCCCCCTCCTCCTCCCCCGCTGCCGCCCCCACGGGCTCCACATCCTCCGCGCCCGCCTCCATGGCCGCCTCGAACACGGCGTCCTCGCTGCCCCCGCCCACCACCACCAGGCCGCAGCGGGAGAAGTTGAATAGCACGGAGCCGGGCTCGGCTACCTGGCGGGTGGTGGTGGTGGAGTTGGGTGGGGTCAGGGGGTGGGGTGGGGCGGGGTGGGGTCAGAGGGTGGGGTGGGGTGGGGTAAGAAGAGGAAGCTAACGAGCTGTATGACGAGGCTTCACAACAGCGACAAATGTCTTGGCTTGGGGGTGGGGTGGGGGTGTTGGCAAGGCAGGCACTGGGTTACGGTATGGCGGGCGTGCTGCGGTGCGTGTGTCGAGGTAGGTATGCGGTGTGCGGCGTGTGCTGTGCTCCGGGGATTGGGCGATGCCGGTAGCCAGCAAGGGCTGGCACGGTGGGAGCAACGCCCCGGATGAACGCGCTGCAGCTGCAGCTGCAGCTGCAGCAGCAGGAGGAAAGGGAGGGGGAGGAGGGTGGCACACACACCTTGGCTCCTGCCTTGGTGATGACGGCCTTCACGTCACTGGCGGTGCGGTTGAGGTTGTCGGTGAGGCAGAACACCACCAGGCCCGTACCGCCGGGGCCGTACGCCTCGTACGTCACTTCCTGCGTACCGTACGGCATGGGTGGTTGTTGTTGATGGTGACGACATTGGCAGTGGCACGTAGGCACATGGTACGGCAGACGTAGGGCCAGCAGCGTGGTTGAAGGTAAGTGGTTATGACGAGCAGCCAAGGTTGCATCCTGGCCGCTGCAGAATTACATTTTTTCTGCATGCTGCTGGGATGGGGAAACTGTCGAGGGCAAGGACCTTGCAGCTATCAGTACCCGTTGCCCATTGGGACGATGGTTTCATCACATGTCTGAAAACCTGCCTGATAGTCGCCTTGCTTTGAATCGGTGGCACGCTTGAGATTGCGCTCTACCACATCCTTAGGCACGCCGAGGTCCTTTGCTTGCCGCAGAAGGGTATCCAGCGCAGCATTTGTTGTTGGGTCAGCACCTCCAGCTTTGGCCCTACAAGAACGGCAAACTCAAAATGATACCGGTAGTGGTCGCGACGACTGCATGGAGACGAGCGAGCAGCGAAAGACGGGATCCAGCGACAGGGCTTCCGAGATAACACAGAACCTACAATTGAATAATTTTCTTGCCAACGCGACCGTAGATCTTGGCTTTCTTAGCATCCGACTTGCCCTGCCAACATTGGTAAACAAATTTACAGCGTCTCAGATATAGAGATGACCAAGCTCTCTTGAGTCTTACAAAACTACCTTCCGCAAAGCAATCTTTGCAGATCGTCGGCCCATTTCCACAGGTGGAACGAGCAATCGGCTGCGCGGCTTCGTCGATGGACAGGGCAACGGCAGGACCATAGGTCGCGAAGTATGTTGGGTAACGGAACATTTTGCTAGTCGATATGGGCAGTTGACTGCAAAGTTGGTGGGCAGAAGTAGTCGCTGCATTCCTCAAGGGCAACTCGCAAACTTGCTTGTATAAGTGCTTTCTTAATGCAGCTCAAGATAAAGCAATGTAAAAGCAGACCACAAGCTCAATTGCCGCAAGGTAGCGGTTTGCCCGTTGGTTAGTCAGGTTGCAAGCAGTACTTCTCGATCACACGAAAACCGGTTGACAGCTACGTACGGATCAACAGCTGAACCACCATTCCGCTCCGCACAAACAAACCAGCATGTCAACCCCACACCAAGCCAGGTCAAGAAGTGGGAATCCCCCAACAGCAACCGATTCGCCAAGCACTCTTAAGGACCGCGACCCATGGGCCCCAGCCATGCTGACTCCCTGACTCCTGGAGGCGCTGCTGATCCTGCCACCGCTTGGCCCTCCGCCCTGCCAACAGGCACCCAGAGCCCTTGGCTGCGCACACATCCCTGCCACACCGACAGGTGCAATCCAAGGTGCACTCCCCAGCCCCACCACCTTCCCCTAGTAGGCCCCCCCCTGTGTGCTACACCGCCCCTGCCGCCGCCGCTTCCCTCTCCACCCGCGCCGCCAGCTCCTCCGCCTCCTCCCGCCCCGGCGGCACCGGCAGCCGCCCCGCCTGCAGCGCCGCCAGCAGCGCCGCCTGCTCGGCCCCGCATGCGGTCGGCTGGCGGCAGCGGCAGCGGCTGCGCAGTTGCAGGGCGGGGGGGCAGGTAGGAGCAGGCGCGGTTGCCCACTCCCTGATTGCGACAGGAGGAGGAAGGGGAGGGTGTGGGAAAGGAGGTGGGGTAAAAGGAGGGAACTGGAGAGAGCTGTATGGCGAGAGGGGGCTTCAGCAGGGGGGTTGCTGCATTGGACCCGGCCCATCCCCCGTCCCAATGCGGAGTGAGGGAGGGGTGTTTGGGAGAGAAGGACGTGTAATTAAATGTGCTTATTGGGGGCATGGAGGTGGCATGTTGCCGTCACATTCGAAGCTACTAATTAAGCAAAAGCGCCGCTCAGGACATGTGTTCTAAACCACCCCCACCACCTCAATCCTCCTCCCGCTGCCCCCCCCCCTCATTTCTTTTGCGTGCTTCTAGGCTCATGTCCCCGCATGCGCTCACTGCATACCGGTATGACCGCATATGGCTCCAGTGGGGACTCCAGTTGCTGCGCTTCTCATTCACTAGTCCCCCCTGCCCCCCCACCATCCCCCCCCACCCACCTGCTCCTCGCTGCGCTGCGACCACCAGGAGGCGCGCGGGTCCTGCTGCGGACCGAACAGACCCACGGGTCCGTCCAGCTGGGGTATGCTGGAGCGGTTGGCGGCGGCCCACAGGTTGGTGTTGAAGGCGAACATGACGCGGAGGCCCTGGGAGGGGGAGGGAGGTGAGGTGGGGGAAGAGGCAGTTGAGTGGGTGGGAGGCATGAGGGGGGAGGAGGTGTGACGGCCCCAGCCCCCCCTCATGGCGCCCACCTGAGGATGAGCATCCTCTGGCGGCCGGAAGCACCTGCAGCGGGAGGGAGGGAGGGAGGGAGGGAGGGGGAAAATTATATAAGTGAAACAACGAGTCCCGATCCCATATCCCGACTCATGCAGTGAGCGCATTCGGATGGGGGAGCGGGGTTGGCTTGAGGGGCAGTGCGGGAGAGAGGAGGACAGGGCAGCTGTGAAAGGGAGGAGGACGGAGGATTAGCATGCCCATGTCCCTTCCTCCTGGCACGTCGTGTGTGCACAAGCGGCCCAGCTAACGCACATCCCGGCCTGTTTCTCTCTGCCCTCCCCCCTCTCCCCTCCCCGCCCCCCTGTCTCACCCCTGCCCCCACACCGGGTTAGCCTCCAACAGCTCGGCGGGCCAGGGGCACGGCGCAGGCAGCCGCCCGCCCGATAGCGAGTGGTTTCGGAACCTCGCCACGTCAGCAATGTCGTACTGCAGGCTCCGCTCCGAAACCTCCATCAGGGGCGGGATGGGGTCGGAGAGCTGGGGGGCGTAGCCTGGGGGGGGGGGGGGGGCGGGGATAACGTTAAGGGTGAGGGATGGCAGGAAGAGCGGGTGAGATTCAGGGGGAGGGATGAGAGCGTGCGTGAGGGTGCTGCAAACTCGCCAGTATGGCTGCTGAGGTGCTGCATGCGTAGCCACTGCGGCACCAGCGGCACCAGCGGCAGCAGCAGCAGCCCACCTGTGCGAAGCAGGCACCGCAGGAGCCCGGTACCTCGCCCTCCACCCACTCCTCTCCCGCCTTCCTTCCCTCCCTCACCGGCCCCAAAGCACTCCACCGACATTCGCCTGGCCCCAACGCCACCTCGCGCCCCTCCCACTTCGCCCCTCCGCTCCCACTTCTCCCCCCTCTCCCCCCCCCCGCACCGCTCTTTGCGAAGTTGTCGGGCAGGTGTGCCAGTGTGAATCCCGCCCGCAGCAGCCCCCGCAGCATGAGGGGCGGCTCGTGGGTGCGCACGGGCGGCGGGCGGCCCCCCGCCTCCTGCCCCCACACCCCCTCCAGCAGCTCCGGCATGCCTGCATGTCGGGGCAACACGGACACGAAGCTCACCGGGAAGCGTGACCCGGGGGGCGGGGGCGGGGGGGTCCGCCCCGATCCACAGGGCACACCCCCGCACCGCTCACCCCACCAGTGGTGGTGGGGGGGGGGGCATGCTACTGGTTAGGCGCACGGCCCTGCAGTGCTGCTACTGCTGAGGGCAACACGGACCTTCCTCTCCTCAGTCCCCACGGGCATTGGCACTTCACTTGTCGTCCCCCTCCCCCTCCCCCTCCCCCTCCCCCTCCCCCTCCCCCTCCCCCTCCCCCTCCCCCTCCCCCTCCCCCTCCCCCTCCCCCTCCCCCTCCCCCTCCCCCTCCCCCTCCCCCTCCCCCTCCCCCTCCCCCTCCCCCTCCCCCTCCCCCTCCCCCTCCCCCTCCCCCTCCCCCTCCCCCTCCCCCTCCCCCTCCCCTCCCCCTCCCCCTCCCCCTCCCCCTCCCCCTCCCCCTCCCCCTCCCCCTCCCCCTCCCCCTCCCCCTCCCCCTCCCCCTCCCCCTCCCCCTCCCCCTCCCCCTCCCCCTCCCCCTCCCCCTCCCCCTCCCCCTCCCCCTCCCCCTCCCCCTCCCCCTCCCCCTCCCCCTCCCCTCCCCCTCCCCCTCCCCCTCCCCCTCCCCCTCCCCCTCCCCCTCCCCCTCCCCCTCCCCCTCCCCCTCCCCCTCCCCCTCCCCCTCCCCCCTCCCCCGCACCTGGCGAATACTCCAGCAGCAAGTGCTCCACTCGCCCCCCGCCTCCCCCGCCTCCCCCGCCTCCTCCCCCGCCTCCCACCCCGCCGCTGCTGCCGGCCCCCCGCTGCCGCAGCCCCAGCAGCCCAGCCGCCGAGCGCAGCGCCACCGGCTCGTAGCCCTCCACATCCACCTGCATGCGGCGGCAGGAGGGGGGGGGACTGGGGGGGGCGCTGGGGGGACTGGCGCAACCGTCCTATCGCACTCCTCACCTCATGCCGCCTACCTACCTCCTACCTCTCCCCACCTCCAGTTCGTCATTCTCGTTATTCCCCCCACCTCCCACCTTCATGAGCAGTACGACCTCCCCGGGGGGCACCAGCTCGTCCAACCGTACGGCGGGAACCGTCACCCTCTCCAGCTTGGCGTCCTGGGGAGCAGGGGGGAGGAGGAGAGAGGGAGGAGGTACGAGACAGGAAGGGGGGGCGGCAAGAGGGGGGAGCGGCAAGGCAGAATGGCAAAGCGGAGAGTGGAAGGAGGTGCTGTCGGGGGGAGCTGCAGCAGTCAACGCTACGATGTCAGCAGCTGTGTGCCCACTGCCAGCCCCACCAGCCACACAGCGTGCCAGTCCTCCCAACGTCTCCCAGCACCGACCGCCCACTGACCAGGGCCCCCCTCCCCCCCCAGCCCCTCGGCCCTTATCACGCGGTAGGGTCACTTGCTTCCTCTTTACCCCCCGCCCCTCCCCGCCCCTCACCTCACCTCCTGCACCCCCGCTATCATGCCCGCCACACTCGCGGTGCCCCACACGCCTCTGAGGGTGGGGGAGGGGGAGGGGGGGTGCAGGGGTCCGGGATTCGATAAGCGGAGCCGCGGAAACACGGACCCTGAGGGGCGGAGGATTGCACTCAAGGGCGTTCGACGTCATAATCTGTGTCACGGCGGGGGTGTCCGGGTTGCGGTTGAACAGGTCGCGTCACTCTCGGACCCCCCCTCCCGCGGTAGGCTCTAGCGCACGACAACGGCAGCAGCACCACCACCCGCGGCTCCGACCGCACCACGCATGCGGGGCATGCCGCAGCCCCACGGCCTCGCGGGCCTGTTATCTTTACGCCCGCCCCACCGCCCATCCTCATTACACCATCAAGCAATTTCCGGTAAACTACGGTCAGGGTCAGAAAGGAAAAGCCGTCAGTGTTTCCGCAGCTCAGTGTATGCTCTAACCCCCACCTCCTGGGTGCCTCAATGCTGATGTTGCCACCCGCCGCATCCGACACCGCCCCCGCCACCACCGCCACAACAGCAGGCGCGGATGGGGCAGCGGAGGGCGTGGAGGCGGAGGAGGAGGAGGCGGAGGGCGTGGAGGCGGAGGAGGAGGAGGCGGAGGTTGTTGATCCGCCGCCCCCCCAGTCGGTTGTTGAGTTGGCCGCCCGCAGGCCGTTGGCTGCCAGGTTCCAGTGCAGGAAGGCCAGGAAGCGGGGCACCGGCTCCACCGCTACCACCCTGCGTGTACGGCACACCCAACAATTGCCGTTACAAGCACAGTAAAAAACAGTTACCGTTACCTATGATGTGTGCAGGGTGTGTTTTCAGCTGCCTGCAACGCCATCTGCAACCTCCTCACGCTCCAACGAAACACTATCGAGGGGTAGAGCCCCGCAGGCCCCCGCTACCCACTACTCCCCAACCCTTTCCAGCATTTCCCTTACCCCCCCCCTTCCAAGTCCATTCCCCATCACCCCCCTACCTGCACCCCATCAGCGCCGCCAGCACAGTGAAGTACCCGAAGTTGGCGCCCACGTCCACAACCAGCGGGGCGGCGGCAGCGGGGGCAGCAGCGGCAGCACCCGCCTCACCTGCCCCTCCTGCTGCCCCTGATCCGGCACCTGCCGCCCCTCCTGCACCGCCTCCGCTTCCCGCAGCCCCATCCCCCACTGCATCCCCCGCCGCCCTGCTGCTGCTGCTGCTACCGTGCGCATGGGGTGCCGGGGCGGGTGGCTTGAAGGGCGCACAGCGGGACTCCAACACGTGGTTGAACACCTGGAGGAGGCGGAGCGGGGGAGGCGGGGGTGTTAAGATAGCTGGCCGCGAGGCGAAACGTACTGTGATTGCCGAAAGATGAAGTTCGCCCACCGAAAACGCCACAGGTGAAGTGAAGTCCTTTGGCTATGGTGTATTACAGCTATCGAGTAGTATCGGAATCATTGTAAAGCAGTAAAAAGCAATGTCGTAACGCGACCGGACCTAAGGACCGGAGTAGTAAGTAGGTGGTAATGAGTAACCGTCACTGTCATGTGACAAACACCCCCCCACCTGCACAATGCCCAGCTCCAGACAGCCGCTGCGCTCCAGCTGCTCCGACACGTCCAGGTCCTCCTAGGGGGGGTAGGGGGAGAGGGAGGGGGGGAGAGACACAGCAGCCGTACGACGCCCCGTGCGACCAAGCGAACGTGTTGGTTCCGTACTACCCGGCAAGCCACACGTACCACTGATTGCTCGTACAACCCTTCCTATCCGCCTTCCCTTGCGCGTGCCAAAGTGCAGCAATACACTATGTACGGCAACAATACCGGTATCTGCTACACCCTCATACACACACACACACGTTCTTAACACACACGTTCCTACTCGCGGCCAGTTTTCTTAACACACACACGTTTCGCCTCGCGGCCAGTTATTTGAACACACACAATGTACACCTTTGGGTCCGTATAGGCCATGACGAAGTGCGGCGGGAAAGCCAACCGCCGGGCCCACACCCGCACCCCCCGGCGGTTGAGGTAGTCGATAGGGCCCTTGAAGCCGCCAGACGTGCTGGGTGGTGTGTGGGGGGGGCGGGAAGGAGAGGAGGGGTGGTGCGGGTTACGAGGAAAGCAACAGCAGCAAGGGCGGCGAGGGCAACGGGTGCGACTGAGTTGGAGCACCGACAGGCAGCAGCAGCAGCGGGCGACGGAGCCGGGACGAGCGGGCGAGGGAAGCGGGTAGGTCCAGGTCGCGATGCACCCCCCCTGGCGTCCCCCGCTCCTCCTTCACGGTACCCCACCACTGCTCCATCACTCGTACCTCGCACCCCCATGACGGGGGAGTGCATGGTGGCTCGTACCCCCATGACGCTGCTTGCCGTACTCACCCCCACTCGGGTACGACACCGCGGTACGGCCCGCAGTCCGTACAATCCGTACCCAGATCGCAAGCCACCTGGATCCCCCCTGCCGTCGTACTCCTGCTGTTGCCGCCACTGCTCTGTATCACCGGGGATCCGTCCTCGCAGACCCCGTTACGAGCCTGTCAGCAGCCAGGGAGGGCGGCCAGGGACCGGATAGTCACAGAGGCAGCTAGGGACCGCACAGCAGTAAGCGACCCATGGGTCAGGTGCATCCGCTGTCCTGCATCCTGATCAGCTCCAGACCTCCAGTGCTGCCTGCTATTGCACATGCGGAAGGCCATACCAGAGAGAGACCTTCCTACGCCGCTGGCATGCCTGCAGCTACTTGTTAGTTACCGCATTCATTCCTTCAGCAACCATCACTGGGCAACACACCGACCCACCGACCCACCGACCCACCAGCGGGCATGTATCTGTGCAAATGCCCCCGCCGCCTCCCTCGCCGCCGCCACCTCCTGCTGCTCCTCCGCTAGCCAAACCTTCCGCAGCGGCGCTACGTATTCCGCTGCTGCTGCTTGGCCCGCCGCTGCTGCCTCCGCCCTTCCCCGCCCCGGAGGACGGCAGGGCGCCGCTGCTGCCAGGCAGGAAGGAGGCGGCGGCAGGAGGCGGGTGCGGGCTTCGGAGCTGGGAGGCGGGAGTGAGGAGCAGCAGGGCTGGGAGTGGGGAGTGGGGAAGGAGGCGGGAGGGAGCGGGGCCAGTGGGGAAAAGGGAGATGTGTCGGGATGACAGACCAGCAATCAAGGGGGCAGGGGCAGGGGCCTCGTCAAGAAGAAGGGAAGATGCAAATGGAGGGCTGAAGCTGCTCAGAGAGCGGGAGCCGCTACCGTCGGTAGGTCGGGCACAGCTCCGTACTCATGTGAGATGTGACGCATTGCGCTGCTAAGCAGACGGCGAGGATGAGAGGACGGCGAGGGGAACCCCAACCGCAACCAGGGACAGTTGGGGGCCCCTGGTACTTCCTCCCCATGCAGGATGTATGACATCAGCAACTAGTGCCCCTTTGGCAGTTAGTCGGTTAGCAGCAAAGTATCCGGCGTAAGCAGGTTCCGCAGGTTGCGCTTACCCAGCAGCAAGGCCTGCGGTGGTTTCCACATGTCCATTTCGCCTCCGACGCCCTGGCGTACAGGCTCGCCGCACTTAGCACCAGCTTGACTTCATGTGCTGAATGTTGGGTCTGATGTAATCAAACAATGGCAAAGACCGGCATAGCGGTTTACGCGCATACTGCAATCATGTCGAAAGTTCAAAGCAAAACAGACTTCGCCCCACTTTAGCACGGTTTTACTAAATGCGCATTTGCAATATTTGCATTAAATGCATTCCGTGCCAGCGCGCTTGTGCATGGCACGATAGGAAAGGGTTTGTGGTTGGGTTAACCGACACTCTGGTAATGCCACTTGCCGCTGCTACAACGCCTTCGCGGTATTAGCAGTGCGCTAGAAGCGTTTGTAAAGGTTCTAAAACGTTACTACTGTTTCAGTAGATTTACTTAGACTGCCTCTGTGCTCTATACCTGTCTTGCCCGAGTACACGCTTAGATCTAGCGCGGGGTTGTTAGCCTAAGAGTACATACTGAAGATGGCAGCAGAATTGGAAAGCCGACTTAAAAGCGCCACGGAGCTTGGGACATCTGACATCGCAGGCGCCTTGGAGCAGCTTAAAGGACTCGTGCTTGAAGACAGCAGCAATGATACTGACGCAATTCGGATAAAGGAGCAGGCTATATCCCAGCTATGCGACCTCTACATTAAGCAAGGCAACGCGCAAGGACTCGCAGATCTGCTGACATCCCTGCGGTCGTTCTTCAACGCCATTCCCAAAGCTAAGACGGCGAAGCTCGTACGCAGTATTATTGACTCCATTGCAAAGGTTCCGGGGTCCACGCAACTACAGGTGCGCCTTCTAACAATGCTTTACATGGCGATCTGCGCGGGTTGACCCCCCATAAGGCTTAGTTACAAGATCCAGTTACAAATCTTACTGTCCTTACAATATTCCAAGTTTATTCAGTTAAATCGCTTGAGTTTGAAACGTTACTCGAGGTTTAACTGTTCGAGGCTTCCTAACCCCCCCTCCTCATCCTGCTCCCCCCCCCCCCGCCTGCGCACGCCAGGTGGAGGTGTGCAAGTCGCAGGTGGAGTGGGCTCGCGGCGAGAAGCGCACCTTCCTGCGCCAGCGCATCGAACTGCGGCTGGCCAGCCTCTACCTGCAGGTGGGGGGGTGAAGGGAGGACACTGACGAGGCAACTGACGAGGCAGGTGGGGGCCCGGCCTGCTGGCAGGGGTGGTATGGACCCGTGCTTGCGGCCCATGGCAGGGGGCCCGAGCGGGGACTCTACCTCCTCCCCCCCGCTTGGTGGTGCCACTGGTAGCAGCAGCGTGTGGGGCAGCAGGGGGGTGTCCGGGTGCCGGGGGGCGCCCTGACCCCCCGCACAGCTACCTCTAGCGGCACCACCCAGGGGGGGAGGTGGGCGGCCAGGGAGCGGAGCGCGAGGCAGCCGGGGGGGCCAGCCGCCAGCCGCATGTACGGCAGGGCCCCGGCAGGCGGCTTGGTGTGGTGCGAGAACAGCGTGTATGTCAGTATGTGGTGTGTGTAGTTGAGTAGGACAAGAGCAAGCAATTGGGAGAGGTTCGCATGTGAACCGCGAGTACAGGCAAAAACAGAGGTGACCAAACCTGAACCGTAATTCCAAAACTGCGTAAATAGCTGTTGCTGGATGTAAGAAGAGTGGCGGGTGACGAGTGACGACGCATGTCGGTGATGCTGATGGTTGTCGGAAAACTAAAATACTACCGAGAACTAAAGCCCAGTCAGTATGTGGTGTGTGTGTACAGTGCTGCAAGGGTCCGGGTGGGACCGCCGGAGCAGTGGGCAGCGGGAGCACCACAGCCGCAGCCCTGTGCTCGCTGGTGAGGGCCCTCCACCCGCCCTTGCCTCACATGGAATGGAACCTGTTGTGAGGGGGCTTCCGGCCTCTCCTCCCTCCTCCTCGCCCCGGAAAGGGTCTAACACCTTGAGAGGACACGCGGAGGGTGCGCAGGTCCCTACCTAAACCCTAGTGACGCAGCTCCCGTTCTCCCTGCTCCCCACTCCCTACCCAAGTACCCCACACTTCACACCGCCACCCCCCTGCCCCCCCCCCCACCCCCCCCGCAGGTTCGGGAGTACCCAGCGGCGCTGGCGCTCATTGGCACGTGAGTGGGCCTGGGGGGGAAGGGGTTGGGGTGAGTGGGAGGAGGAGACCCACGGGTCTGCCGCCTCATGCCGGGTGCTGTCCTCCGTTTCCCACATGAACCCCAGCAGGACTGATTCCGACCACACACACACACGAGTGCAGTCCGGCGCATGTGGGATTCCCCCGCCTGTGTGCCCCGTTGGGCCCCCCTTGCTCTCCGTGGGGTGGGTTGGGGGGGGGGGCATGGGGCGACCCGGGGGCTCAGCCCCAGCCTGTCATCGCCCGCTCCCCTCCTCCTGTCACGGTCTTCCCCTCCTCCTGTCATGGTCTTCCCCTCCGACTTCCTCACACCCTTCCCCCTCTCCCGCCCCCCTCCCCCCCAGCCTGCTATCTGAGGTGAAGAAGCTGGACGACAAGCTGCTGCTGGTGGACATATACCTGCTGGAGAGCAAGGGTGGGGGTGGGGGCGGGGGGAGGGAGGGGAGGTGGGGGCCTGGGGGGCAAAGCGCACACAGGTTGTGGAGGGCTGGCACAGGGTGATGAGAGGGCAGGGTGTGGAGTGTGGTGAGAGGGCTTCGAGCCGTGTGCCTGCATGACTCCCCCCCTCCCTGCCCCTTCCCACCCCCCCCTCCCTCCCCTTCCCCCCCTGTGCAGTGCACCATGCGCTGCGCAACGTGCCCAAGAGTCGCGCCTCGCTCACCGCCGCACGCACCGCCGCCAACGCCATCTACGTGCCGCTGCAGCTGCAGGCGGAGGTGGGGGGAGGAGTGGGGAGGGAGGGGCAGGGGTTGTTTCAGGACCAGCCCCTTGTAGGTGGGTGGGCGGGGGGTGTACGACTGCCGTTTTGTGTAGGGGCCGCTGAAGAGCGCTTCCGGCCCCCTGGTCTCACCTCCCCCTTACCTCCTCCACCTTCCTCCCCCCGCCCCGCCCCCCAGATCGACTGCCAGAGCGGCATCCTGTGTGCCGAGGAGAGGGACTTCAAGACCGCCTACTCCTACTTCTTCGAGAGCTTCGAGCAGCTGGCGGGACTGGAGGACCCACGGGCGGCGCAGGTGGGGGGGGGCGGGCGGGTGGAGGGGGTGAGAATAGGACTGGCTGCGCGTGGGTACGTGTTGGTGCGCGTGTGAACAGAGCTGTTGCTTCGCGGCTCAGTGTACCTAATCCCCCCCTCCCCCCCACTTTAGTTGTTTGCATTTCATATATAATTTTCCCTCCCCCCCTCCCCCCCAGGTTCTCAAGTACATGCTGCTGGCCAAGGTGATGTTGGATCAGGCGGAGGACGTGCCGGGTGAGGGGGGGAGGGCGGAGGACGTGCCGGGTGAGGGGAAAAAAAGAAATTCCAAAGTGTGGTATGATAATCCCAAAGTGAGGGGGGGAGGGCGGGGGGGGGGTGAGGGGGGGTGAGGGGGGTAGCTTTGATTAGGGCAGCCCGGGAGCTTGAGACCACGATACTTTAGGGACACGTTTTGTGGCACAAAACACATCCGGTGCCTGTGTTTGTACCTTGGACTTGTACCTTCCTAACCACCGCCCCCCTCTCCCCCCCCTGTAGGCATCATCAGCTCCAAGGCGGGTCTCAAGTACGCGGGCCCCCCCGTGGAGGCGATGCGCGAGGTGGCGGCGGCATACCGGGACAGGTCGCTGCAGAGGTTCCAGGTGGGGGGGAGGGTGGGGGGAGGGAGGAGGGAGGGGAGGTGGGGAGGAGGGAGGGAGGAGGGAGGAGGAGGTGGAGATGGGGGGAGACTTGCATGGCGTGCACGCGCCGGCAGGGTCACGCTGGCCTCTTCACTGACCCACCCCTCCCCTCCCGCCCCGTTCGGCTCGACTAACTCTCTTCCATTCACCAGGAGCTTGTCATCACCTTGTTTGGCATCCTCGATCAACCCACTGGGTATTCTCCTCCCCCCTCCTCCCCCCACCCAGGACGTGCTGTCCGCCCACTCCGCCCAGCTGGTGGAGGACGAGGTGGTGCACACGCACCTGGCCGCACTGTACGACACGCTGATGCAGCAGAACCTGGTACGGCTGATCGAGCCGTACAGCCGGGTGGAGATCAGCCACGTGGCGGCGCTGATCGGGCTGCCGCTGGAGACGGTGGAGGCGAAGCTGAGCCAGGTGGGGCTTGGGGGTGGGGAGGAGAGGAAACGTATGGGGGTTCAGAGATTCACGGGGTGGGGAGGAGAGAAGGTAATGCGTTATGCGGGTATTGAACGGGTTGTATCTGTTGTTGAAAGGCCCAAAAGAGGAATAAAAAGCCACTGGCCCACCGCTCCTCCCACACCCCCTCCCCTCCTTCCCCCACCCCCATTCTCAGATGATCCTGGACAAGAAGTTCAGCGGCACTCTGGACCAGGGCGCCGGCTGCCTGGAGGTGTTCCCCCCCGCCCCCGCCGACACCACCTACCCTGCCGCGCTGGAGGTGCTGGATGCGCTGGGGCGCGTGGTGGACACCCTGTTCGTGCGGAGCACCCGCGTGGTGGCGTAGGAGGGGGGCGGGAGGGGGGGCGTGAGGGAGGGGGGGAGGGAGGGGGGGAGGAAGAATACCCAATGTGTCGAGTAGGGCCAACCTACTAGGGGGGGAGGGAGGAAGGGGAGTAATGAAAAAAGAAGCAACCGGAGTCCCAAGCGCATGTAATTCGACTTATGTGATGAGCGCATACGGCGAGGGAGGTAGGAGGCAGGGGGTGGAGAAGAGGAAGGGGAGCACTGGGAGCGGGGATTGGGAGGGAGAGGAGGACCGAACGGCGTGACGGGGCTGTAGAGGGGTGGAGGGGAGGGGGTAGGGGGCCATGGGTTGGGAGGTTGGGTTGGGAGGTTGGTGCATGGGGATGTCTGGAAGCGGGGGAGTGGTGTTGCATGTGGGGGAACGGGAGTTGCGGTGAGGAGATCTAGGTGGTGGGAGGTGTAGGAGGGGAGAGGGGAGGGTGTTGGCGGTGTAGAGCAGGCGGCGAAGGGGGGGGACGCGAGGGAGGTATCGCGGGTAACAACTCCTGCAGTCCAAACATGCATGTAAGTGGTCATATGCAATGAGCCCCTGGTCGTCTGGAGCCTCTACACTCAATCCTTTGTGCTGCGGGCTAATTACCGAAAAGCTGGGCCGCCCAGTTCTGGCAATCGCATTCTATCCAAGAGCCGCTGGGGCGGAGGCGGCAGGTGATGCGCCCCTACAGTATCCAGGAGGCCATTCATCACGGTGTGTGCACTTGCACCCAGAAACGTTCAGGTTGTAATGGCGTGAAGTAAATCAAGAAGCGCAACCACTTGAGTATTAGAGGGCAACGAGGAATCTGTAATCTGGCTTATCCATTTCTGAAGCTACTACTTTGTTATTACGCAACCGCAAGAATGTAGGACAGTACGACAGTTTAAAAAGACAGCGGAGTTTGTAACAACTCACCTACTCGCTGACAACGCCTGATGGACGCACTAAGAACTTGCTTCGCTGCAGCGTACTTGGTGATAAAGCCCTACGATAACTAGTTGCCAGGTGCCAATGGAGGGGACTTTTTGTTGCCTAATGAACAGAACTTCGCCATGCGGTATGCACAGTACAAAGACGTCCACTGCTGGGCCGTAATTAATAGATCTGACGGTACAAACTCCCGTGATGCCATCTTGCAGGTGATGGAGATGTCCCGCCTGCCTTTACGTATAAACCGCCTCCCGCACAAGCGGGTGTGCCCCAGCACTATATGCCAGATATGCTGCTCTGCCCCAGCGATAAGGACAGCGAGCACGAAGCTCTCCAATGCCAGCAGCCCAAGCGGCAAAAGCAGAGCCATGGGCACGACGCCCTGCCCGGAAGCAAGGCACCGAGAACGGAACGGTGGAGAATGCTAGAGGCAGCACAACAGCCTCCACACGCCGACGGCGAAACGCTTGCCTCGGGCACGCACCCAGCGCACATGGCAGACCCAGCAACCCCGCTTTTTTGCCCCAGCAGCAGCAGCAGCAGTCGCAGCGGCGGAAAGGGAAGAACCCTCTGGAGGCCCGAATAGCCTCTCTGTTTCCTTACCAGGGCAGGGAGGGCTGTGAAGCGGCGGACGCCATGTGCCACCTGGCGCGATCCGCTGCGCGAGTCCTGCTGAACGATGTGCCGTACCCGCACTGCCTGCGGCTTAGCGCGTTTGGCAAGTGGTGGAAGCGGCTGATGACGCGGCGCGGGCAAACTGATACGGCGCCGTTGCAAGAGCGGTTGCTGGCGATGTGCCAGCAGTGGCCGCATGTGTTTGAGCTGCAGGGGCAAGGGGCGGGGCAGATGAGGTCATGTTCTGACTGCTTCTTTAGCTTCTGAAATTCTTCAATTCAAGAAAATCATACGTTATTTGTATGTTCATGCCATCTACCCTGCGCTTCGTGCTTTTCTCCATTAAACTTTGTGGTCAGCGCTGTTCGACGCCCCATCCCTTATGCACCACCCTCCACATGGGGTCCAGCAGGATCCCCAAATCCGGGTTGCCTGCCCAGAGCTGGTGCGTGTGGAGGAGAAGCGGCGGGCCTTCAAGGCCGCCAAGAAGGCCGCGGTTGGGCCCATCACCCACGTCGTACCTCCTGCGGGACAGCTGCGGAACAAACCCACCGGGCAGCAGCACCCTGGCTGGGGGCCGTCGGCGCGCGGGACGGCGCGACACCGGCTCTCAGGCCAGCAGAGCCCTCGCCCCTGCCACCTCAGACGCCTCGCCCCTGCCACCTCAGAAGCCTCGCGCCTGCCACCTCAGAAGCCTCGCCCCTGCCACCTCAGAAGCCTCGCCCCTGCCACCTCAGAGGCCTCGCGCCTGCCACCTCAGAAGCCTCGCCCCTGCCACCTCAGAGCCCTCGCCCCTGCCACCTCAGACGCCTCGCGCCTGCCACCTCAGACGCCTCGCGCCTGCCACCTCAGAAGCCTCGCGCCTGCCACCTCAGAAGCCTCGCGCCTGCCACCTCAGAAGCCTCGCCCCTGCCAACTCAGAAGCCTCGCGCCTGCCACCTCAGATGCCTCGCCCCTGCCACCTCAGACGCCTCGCGCTTGCCACCTCAGAAGCCTCGCGCCTGCCACCTCAGACGCCTCGCCCCTGCCACCTCAGAGGCCTCGCGCCTGCCACCTCAGAAGCCTCGCGCCTGCCACCTCAGTACCCTCGCGCCTGCCACCTCAGAAGCCTCGCCCCTGCCACCTCAGAAGCCTCGCCCCTGCCACCTCAGAAGCCTCGCCCCTGCCACCTCAGAAGCCTCGCCCCTGCCACCTCAGAAGCCTCGCGCCTGCCACCTCAGAAGCCTCGCCCCTGCCACCTCAGAAGCCTCGCCCCTGCCACCTCAGAGGCCTCGCGCCTGCCACCTCAGAAGCCTCGCCCCTGCCACCTCAGACGCCTCGCGCCTGCCACCTCAGACGCCTCGCGCCTGCCACCTCAGACGCCTCGCGCCTGCCACCTCAGAAGCCTCGCGCCTGCCACCTCAGAAGCCTCGCGCCTGCCACCTCAGAAGCCTCGCCCCTGCCACCTCAGAAGCCTCGCGCCTGCCACCTCAGATGCCTCGCCCCTGCCACCTCAGACGCCTCGCGCTTGCCACCTCAGAAGCCTCGCGCCTGCCACCTCAGACGCCTCGCCCCTGCCACCTCAAAAGCCTCGCGCCTGCCACCTCAGAAGCCTCGCGCCTGCCACCTCAGTACCCTCGCGCCTGCCACCTCAGAAGCCTCGCGCCTGCCACCTCAGAAGCCTCGCCCCTGCCACCTCAGGAGCCTCGCCCCTGCCACCTCAGAAGCCTCGCCCCTGCCACCTCAGAAGCCTCGCGCCTGCCACCTCAGAAGCCTCGCGCCTGCCACCTCAGAAGCCTCGCCCCTGCCACCTCACAAGCCTCGCCCCTGCCACCTCAGAAGCCTCGCGCCTGCCACCTCAAGAAGCCTCGCGCCTGCCACCTCAGACGCCTCGCCCCTGCCACCTCAGAGCCCTCGCCCCTGCCACCTCAGACGCCTCGCCCCTGCCACCTCAGAGTCCTCGCCTCTGCCACCTCAGAGCCCTCGCCCCTGCCACCTTACAAGCCTCGCCCCTGCCACCTCAGAGGCCTCGCGCCTGCCACCTCAGAAGCCTCGCCCCTGCCACCTCAAAAGCCTCGCGCCTGCCACCTCAGAAGCCTCGCGCCTGCCACCTCAGTACCCTCGCGCCTGCCACCTCAGAAGCCTCGCCCCTGCCACCTCAGAAGCCTCGCGCCTGCCACCTCAGAAGCCTCGCCCCTGCCACCTCAGAGCCCTCGCCCCTGCCACCTCAGACGCCTCGCGCCTGCCACCTCAGACGCCTCGCGCCTGCCACCTCAGAAGCCTCGCGCCTGCCACCTCAGAAGCCTCACCCCTGCCACCTCAGACGCCTCGCGCCTGCCACCTCAGAAGCCTCGCCCCTGCCACCTCAGAGCTCTCGCCCCTGCCACCTCAGACGCCTCGCGCCTGCCACCTCAGACGCCTCGCGCCTGCCACCTCAGAAGCCTCGCGCCTGCCACCTCAGAAGCCTCACCCCTGCCACCTCAGACGCCTCGCGCCTGCCACCTCAGAAGCCTCGCCCCTGCCACCTCAGAAGCCTCGCCCCTGCCACCTCAGAGGCCTCGCGCCTGCCACCTCAGAAGCCTCGCCCCTGCCACCTCAAAAGCCTCGCGCCTGCCACCTCAGAAGCCTCGCGCCTGCCACCTCAGTACCCTCGCGCCTGCCACCTCAGAAGCCTCGCGCCTGCCACCTCAGAAGCCTCGCGCCTGCCACCTCAGTACCCTCGCGCCTGCCACCTCAGAAGCCTCGCCCCTGCCACCTCAGAAGCCTCGCCCCTGCCACCTCAGAAGCCTCGCCCCTGCCACCTCAGAGCCCTCGCCCCTGCCACCTCAGAAGCCTCGCGCCTGCCACCTCAGACGCCTCGCCCCTGCCACCTCAGAGCCCTCGCCCCTGCCACCTCAGAAGCCTCGCCCCTGCCACCTCAGAAGCCTCGCGCCTGCCACCTCAGAAGCCTCGCCCCTGCCACCTCAGAAGCCTCGCCCCTGCCACCTCAGAGGCCTCGCGCCTGCCACCTCAGAAGCCTCGCCCCTGCCACCTCAGACGCCTCGCGCCTGCCACCTCAGAAGCCTCGCGCCTGCCACCTCAGAAGCCTCGCGCCTGCCACCTCAGAAGCCTCGCGCCTGCCACCTCAGAAGCCTCGCGCCTGCCACCTCAGAAGCCTCGCCCCTGCCACCTCAGAAGCCTCGCGCCTGCCACCTCAGATGCCTCGCCCCTGCCACCTCAGACGCCTCGCGCTTGCCACCTCAGAAGCCTCGCGCCTGCAACCACAGACGCCTCGCCCCTGCCACCTCAAAAGCCTCGCGCCTGCAACCTCAGAAGCCTCGCGCCTGCCACCTCAGTACCCTCGCGCCTGCCACCTCAGAAGCCTCGCGCCTGCCACCTCAGAAGCCTCGCCCCTGCCACCTCAGAAGCCTCGCCCCTGCCACCTCAGAAGCCTCGCCCCTGCCACCTCAGAAGCCTCGCG